TTAGCAATTTTCAAAAATATTCAATAATTAAAAAAAAAAAAAATGTTAAAAAAATATATAGCAATAAATTTCAATTTTTATTCCTAACAAGAATGATAATTTTTCCTTTCAAGAAAGATTGAAATTTTAATGATAAATTCCTGAAGTACATAAAAGGAAAAAAAGAAAAAAAAAAAAAAAAAAAAACACTTCTGAATCGTACTGCTAATTTATATATTTTCTGTTTATATATTTATATAATACTAACACTACTATTATCATAATGAATCATTAGCGATACAAATGTATTTATATCTCAGGAATAAACACGTAAAAGAAATTTATCAAAGTACGCTTTATCAAATGTCTTTTTGTCAAGTGAATAATCTTTAATTAATAAAGATAAGAATGAAGTATTAGATAGATTAGAAAACTTTTATGGGAATGTGTTGACCGATATTTCGAAAATACAATACGAGAATGATATTCGAAAAGTTTGAAGTAAGAAGAAAAGAAGTTTAAATTGTGAAAAGAAATTTAAAATGTTAAAAGAATTATGACTCGGAAACGGAGAATAATGATTTTTCTGCATTACTCAACTACAGAAATTGCAATGTGAAATGTCTATAAAGAAAAAATCAAAAGATTATATAAGTAACTACATTGTTCTTCATTATATAATATTTCAAAAATAAGAAATATAAAAAAGCAATATTTGTAAAGATTAGAAAAAAAAAGAAAAAACAACTTTTTTTACAATGATTATAATTTAGTAATAAAGAATATATTTATGTTCTTCTAAATTAGAAGTTCTATTGTAAAAAAATAATATTCGAATAATTTAAAATAATTTAAAATAATTGAAAATTAATTTTTTAAAAATTATTTTAGAAACTTATATTTTAGTTATATTTTAGTTAGTTAAACTTATATTTTAATTATATTTTAAAAACTGTTCTTTTAAAAACTTATATTTTATTTATGAAAACAAGATTTTTATATTTATTTTAATTCTAATCGTAGATGATTTCTATGATTATGAAATAAATTAGTGATAAAAAAAATTGAGTAATTATATTTAATTGCAGTTATAACTATAAAATATTTACATATATTTTTCGATATAATTAGAATATTTAATCTTCTAAAAACAAAACAAAACAAAAAATTTCTGACATAAATTTTTTTTTAAATATTAATTTTCGACTTTATATTATTTTTAATGTGTTGATTGATGATTTCATGTTTATTTGAATGTTTAAATTACTTTGAATCTAATTATTCACTAGTTTTTTTAATTTTCCGAAATGCAAATAATTTTTTAGCAATGCAACGTATTTTCAATGTTGTAATATATCTTTTATGTTTCAGAAATATATGCAAATGTTAAAACAAATACAGAAAAATACATGTACATAATATGAATTTTTTATTTTCATTTAATTATGATAATAATGAAACATGAACGAATGTATCCTTTCTTTCTCTTTTTCCAATAAAAGTTTTTCATTGAAAGTATTTTTTATTCGATTAAGAAATTAAAGATAATGTAAATTTAATTTTTTTCAATTTTTAATTTTTTCAATCGATTTGAAATAAAGATTAAATTCTAAATAAACGAGATTAATTAAATTTGAAATAAAAATTTTTTAATTTAAAATATTTATTATAATTTATTAATTTATATTAAATTATAATTTAATTTATAATTTATTATTTATAAAACGAATACATATAAAAATTTCATTTTTTATAAATAATTATAAATAATACTAATAATATATATTTTGAAATTTCTTTTAAAATTATATAAATATATAATAATATAAATTTTGAAATTTCTTTTAAAATTCTTTTAAATTTCTTTTAAATTTCTTTTAAAAACTTTAATGGAAGAAACATAAACTTTTCTTATATATTAATATTTCCCAATGTATAATTAAGGAGACTTTCCGTGATTTCTTTTAGTCATGCAATCGTTTCTCTTGAATTTTAGCATTATAAAAATTCATACATAATATACAATACGACGAATTTTTTATTTATTTTAATATCAGTGAAAAATTATATAATTTTTTATTAAAAAAATAATAAATTTTCAGAAAGAAAAAATGATACAAAAAAATCAAAAATGAAAAGATACGTATAAAGATATTTTTTTAAATTTACTTCATTAATATATGATTTTAACTTACTAAAAATAGCGATGTGTAAATTAAAACACTTCACATTTTAAATGCATATTACTTAAGCATATTCAAATAAAGAATTATTGTCATTTAGCCTGCTTACATTAATATTATATAAATATATGACATGACATATTTTAATATAATATTTTTATCATATATATGTCATGTTTTTATCATATATTTTTTTATTATTTATATATTGCATGGTAAACATATAATTTTTCAATAAAAAAATGAAATTTTAATAAATTTTTTTCACATTTATTTTTTCATAACGTTTAGTATTTATTACCTAATATCGTATTTTATACATATTATTTCGTATTATTAAAAAAAGGAATAAAACATAATAGATGGATTGTGCAATTTGTCCAATTGTGATCATCTGATTACAATGAAAAAAGAAAAAAGTTGAACTCACCACTAATCAACGATTCAAGATTCTCGTGGCTTGGACTCATAAAACTTTTAGGCACAGGCACACCAACAATGAGACATTTTATAGCTAATCGCCACCTGCTTGCTTCTCGTAGATTATCTTCATATTTGTCAAAACTGCGGAATCGTAGCGTGATCGTCGTCCTTTCTCGTCTCTTGATACCTTTCATGCGTGCTTTCTTCAATGTGTAAGCATAGATATAAAGATAGGCCGAGGTATCGAACTCATCATAACATTGATATGCTTCTGCAGACTCGACTAGCTTGAATTGAGATCTCGAAGTACCTGGCCCACAAACACAGCTTCCCGCGCTTTTACGTTTCGAACGCATACATCTACACCCTATTATATCGTTTAGAATGATCGTTTCAACCTTCGTCGTACCATTATTGTCTTTCTCTAGGCTGAGGCCCTTTTCTGTTAGTCTCACCTTGTAGTAAGTGTTTTTTTTGGACGTAACGTAAAAGGTTTCTTCGAGAAGAGTAGAATGTACTTGACCACTGTCCTCCATGACACGCTGATCACTGTCTTTCATTCAATAATAAACATAAACCACACTGATAATCGTCCCATAAGATCATTATCATAATAATTAAGGCACTTAATAAACACTTTGATAAAGTTCTTTTTTCTGCCACCGCAAAATATTGTTGCTTCATATGATTCCATTTAAGAAAGGGTATTGATAATCATTCAATTGACTTAATTTTTACTCACTGTTTTTATCATTTTACCAAGCATTTCTTTGTCATTTAATTATTCAACCTGTCGTGTTACGAATTTAACGAAACACGTGCATTTTCCGACTAATTTATTTCTGACATTATCCTTATTAAAGGATTTGTTTTGCAAAAGATATTTAAGTCATATTCGCATGTATTGAAATTTTTTCTGAACCATTTATGGTAATCGAAAGAATTCTGTTATATTGACGTACAATTAAAAAAAATTATTTCACCACTACTTTGGTTACTTCTGTACTTGTACGCATTCAAACATTGAACTGTTTCGAACACACCGAAGTCACGGCATACACTGTTTATGTGAAACTTGAGACAGACCAATTGCTGGAACACCATCAGCGCTATCTTGTGTGAAAAAACTGTACTTTACTATAAACATACTTTTTGTAATGTAAAAAAATATGAAAATGAATTTTATATATATATATATATATACACATATGTATATATATATATATAAATTATATAATGTGTGTGTATGTGTATATGTGTGTGTATAAATATAACTTTTTATTAAAACATTTTTAAAAATTTCAAAAAATAATTCGAATTCGTTAATAGAATTTACTAGTTAGTTAGAATTAGAACTAATTGATTTTTTTTTACTTTATTAATTTTCATTTTTTCATATATAACATGAAGCTTTGACAATATTAGTAAATATTAATAAATATAAAAATAAATTCTGATTATATATCTTTAAGTATTATTATGTTGAATTATAAATAAATTAACAATATTATAAATCTAATACGAAAATTAATAGAATTTTTTATATATTTTATACGAATATATAAATATATATGAGAATCAATTAGCAAACTCATAATTATTTTTTACATCATAATAGAAGCATAATATGTATTATTATATATACATGATTTTATCAAATGGAATTTATATTTTTTCTATAAATAAATTTGTTTTTGTTAAAATAATATTAATAAAGTCAAAATTATATATAATATATAATTAAAAATTGTATTTTGATGACAATTATTAATAATAAAATAGATATTAAAAAATATTATTTATATAAATTAATTTTTATAAATAAAGCATAATATTTAAAGAATATATTATACATTATATTATTATATATTATATTATATATATTATTATAAGTTACATATAAATATATATATATATATTTTTTTTTTCAAATAATTATATATGATAATTTTTAAAATTTATTTTTTTTTTTTATCTTGGTAATTCTGAATCTGAAATGCAACAAGTGTCAATCAAAATCTATGTAGTGAATAAAAATAATTTTTATCATTAAATTTATTTCTGCATAGCAACATATTATATTGCTATATATAAATGCAATATAATTTAAAATAAATTTATATATTTAACTTGATCAAAATGTAGTTTTTATATAGTTTGTATTCGTTTTGTATCAATTTTATTCATTGATAGCGCCCTCTTTTATATCCGTTTCTATAAGTCTCTATCTAACCTGCATATGTGGTCGGCCGTTTCTTTTCCGGTTTATCAAAATGGTAGGATGTTTCAATAGCATCGATATATTTATAAAATCAATAGAGATTTGGTCCATCTATGTCAATTAAAATGAATGAAATTTTTAATCAAATTTTAAAAATGTTAAAAAAAAATTAACAAAAATTATTTCCTTTACAGGGTATTGATATAAACCATAAACACGATAGGAAGGTTCGGCGTACAGAACCTAAATCGCAAGATGTCTACTTGCGACTTCTCGTTAAAGTGAGTATTTTAATAATTAAATTTTTAAATATTTCTTTTGTACTATATTTTTAATTTTAAATTATTTTTATCTTTATTTTTTCTCAAAAAATAATTTTAAATTCTGACTTGTATTATAAATAGATTATATATTTTAATTGAAATTATTGTTGTCATAAACACGTGAGATTTTAAAAAAGATTCGCAAATAAAGTTATTTTGCGAACTGCACTCTGTGTCAGTTCTATTATAGACTGAACCAATTTTGACGTTCGCTAAAAAAAATTTAGTCAACTTTCCTATTCCGTCTTTATATTTTATATAAAAGACGATTATACTAGTTGATACAATACGATATTAAAAATTTGTAAAACTTTCTTTCATGTCAAGAAATTATATTATTGTATTTTAATATGAAAAATCAATTTTATATTTTATCAATTTTATATTTTTTTTTTAATTTATCAAAATTTTTTATTTATTCATATGTTTTTTATCATTTTTATTTTAATTCTTTTTTTTATTTATAATAAAAAAATAAAATTTTTGTGATTATTTAATGAAAATTATTAATATAATTATATTAATATATTTCTTAATTTTGTTATAGCTTTACCGTTTTCTGGCTAGACGTACAAATTCTAAGTTTAATAAAATCATCCTCAAGAGACTTTTTATGAGCAAGATACATCGTCCTCCAATATCTCTTGCACGTATAGTTAGGTTTATGAAAAAACCTGGACGAGAAAATGCTATTGCTGTAATTGTTGGCACAGTAACAGATGATGCTAGGATTTTTGAAATTCCTAAACTTACAGTAAGTAATAATAACAATAATTTTTATTCTCAAATTATTATATAAAATAACAAATTAATAATTGAAATAAAGTATTTTAAATAATTTGAGAAATAAAATTTATTATTAATTTTTTTATAGGTTTGTGCTTTACGTGTTACTGAAAGAGCTAGAGCTCGTATATTAAAAGCTGGAGGTGAATTGATTAGTTTTGATCAATTAGCATTACGTGCACCTACAGGAAAACGAACAGTTTTAATGCAAGGCCGTCGTAAAGCTCGCGAAGCAGTGAAACACTTTGGACCTGCACCTGGTGTACCACATTCTCATACAAAACCATTAGTACGCTCTAAAGGTCGAAAGTTTGAAAGAGCAAGAGGACGTAGGCGAAGCTGTGGTTATAAGAAATAAATTTTGTTTATTTGCCATCATTTATTGTACCATAGCCTTAACATGATTTATAATATTTAGACATTTTGTCTATTTCATTTTTTTATATATTAAGTTGAGGTGGCTGGAAAATAAATGTTGGCTTCTTAATAACGTTTTTATATATTATTAATTCCTTCACTTTTTATTAACTACAAAGTTGAAAATCATTATAATATTAAATTATATTAAATATAACATTGCTCATATATATATATATATATATATATATATATAAATTTAAATATAATAACAAGAACAATTGAATTTCATGTTATCTCATTTTTGTTTTCTTCCGGATTTTCTAATTCTTCCGGTTTTTCTTCATCATCTGATTGTATTTCTTCAGAAAGAATAACATTCGGAAAGTATAACTTTGATTCCTCTGTACCTTTTTCTGGATTTTCACTTACATGATAGGGTCCAATACCAGCAAATCCTAAAAATGCTTCACATCCTACTTTTTTTACGACACATACAAATGTTTCATATCTAAAAATTAAATTCATATTTTTATCCTTAATAATATTAACATATATATTTTTTAAAAAATATTTTCTTAATACCCTGTTCTTTCTTTCGTATTCAATTCAAAATCTGTAATACTCTTTGCTATAAGTTTTGCTTCTGGTGGTTTATCAGATTCAAAAATGCCAAAATTAACTACTTCATCTTCAAATTCTTGTAAAACCATTTTTAGCTCGTTCTTTCTTGTATAATCATATTTGAATACTATTATAGGTATCTTTGCAGTTTTATCTTCATACTTTGAATTTTAAATATAATTTACTTTGAATTTCATGTAATGCATGATATTTATTTTATAAATATTAAAATTTAAAACTTACGGGATATGTATTGATAATATAAGTAGGAAAAATTGTGCGAAAAATAATTGTCTTATTTTGACAGTTTGGTGGTGTCCATACAATTGGAAAAATTTCATTTTCATTTTCGTTTGTTATATAAGCAGGACGATGTCGACCAGCGTAACTATAAACAAAGGAAAATTAATTAATCTTTTTAAATTAGAATTGATGTCAATTTTAAAATTTTATTATGAAATATATTAATAAGCATATATTTTAAATAAATAATAATTTTATTTAGCTATTGTATATGTTCACGTACTATTCTTCGCTAACAATAGTTTCCTTATTGGGTAATTCCGGTTTTCCAAATAAAAGATTCAACAAATATTTATGAATATCAATTTCTGATTTCGTTTCGTTAATTTTTAATCGCATGAACATACATTTTCCATCTAAAAGCAGTTGTTTAGCATTTGGCGATAATATGTAATCAGACTGTAAAATTATTTAATTTTGAATATTATTTATATAACTTTTTATATCATTCATTTGTAATAAAAATTTTTTTAATAATATATTGATATATTACTTCATTAAATATCATAGCCAAAATATCATCATTAAGACGTTTTCGAATTTCTTGTTCGATAGTGTAATTTCCTAATAATATTTCTTCAACTAATTCTATATATGGTGGACTTGATTTTTTATCTCTCTTATGACCTTCTTCATCCTTAAAAACCCATGGATAAAGTAAAAGGCAAGTTTCATTGCTCAGAACAGTGATTAAATGCAGCATTTCGGCTTCATATCGTGCTTTTGCTTCAGCTTCTATTAAATATACGAAAATGTCATACATTATTAGTGTTATTACCACGAATTCAGTAAATAAATATATCCATTTATTTATTAAATTTTAATTATTTTAATAAAACATATATAACAAACTATTGTGTATTTCTATGATTGTATCTATAAAAATTAATTTAAAATTAATAGATTTTAAAATAAATAAAAAAATTAGAAATTAAGTTCTAAATAAAAAAAATTTAAATTAAGTAGAAATCATAATATAAATAATATAAATAGTGTATTTTATTTAAATTGTGCGAGATAATTTTTACAGTAATATGCCATATATTTTTTATAATTATTTTATAAAACCTTTTCGTGATTTTTTTGCAGTTTCTTTAGCTATTCTAGTTTCTTCAATAATTTTTAATCGTTTTATTTCTTCTGGACTTCTTTCCGATATATCTAAGGAAAACCTATATATATATACATCAAAAAAGTGAATATTATATCGTTTTAATATATGTATTATTAAATAATTTTTTTTTAAATAAGAATATAATTTCTTTTGTTATTAAAAATTAAATTATTCATTCTTATTTTTTATGTAAGTAATAGTGCACTTTAATTAAATATATAATTATACTCGTGTTCTTCGCCACTTTGTATTCGTTGCAATTCCGTCGTTAATACTTTTAATAACTGTGGGGATTGAGCACCAAATATAAGATTTATCATCCGACCATTCTACAAAAGTTATTTTGATAATATATGTTTTCTAATCAATTATGCATTAAACTTACGCGTATGAACATCCACGTTGGCTCACTTTTTCCTTGAAAACGCTCTAAGTCCGTAATATAATCACATTTTGCCTAGATTTGTAATAATAATAATTATTTATTTTTACTTATAAATTAATAACTTACAATTAGAAATTACCGTGGCATAACTTAAGGCATCTCCTCCAATTTCCATTTTAATTTTTTTGAGAGTGCTTATCATTCCTGTGCAAGGCCCACTCCATTCTGAATATATATCAACCACTAAAAAAGATTATTAAAAATTTTATATATAAAGTTTCAAAAATTTTAAGAAAAGGAAAAAAATTCTAATTTTAAATAGATATTTATATTTACCTATTAAACCTGTTTTTGTGAGAAGTTTCTCCCATTCTTCGTTGTTAGAAATTTCAGTTTGTAATGCCGTTGGTGTTGTTTTTTTAGCCATTTTTCTTGTAGAACTTAAACCACCCTAAAAAATTAATTATTGAAATTTTTAATATGCAAAATAAGTTATCGAGTTTATCATAAAATTTAAAAAATAAAGAAAGTAATTTTAGAATAATTTAAACAAAATTATGTGGAAAACTTAAAAACTTAAATAATTATAATATAATCTATTAACATAATATAATTAACTTAATTTAGTTAAAAGATTAAAAAATTAATTGTAATTCATAATAATAATTAAAAATGATTAAAAGAACAGAGATATAAGTTCGAATGAAAACGTAATATACCTTTTTTCGTCTCATCATGTTTCTATGATATGTATATCAAATTTCAATTTAAAGTTCAATTTAATATTTTATTTTTTGATATTAAAATTCAATTATAATCTGCTTGATCTATTTCAAACGAAGTACAAAGAAAGACTGAAACCGTATATTTCGAAGTCGGAAGACCATTGTCTTCCGATTTATTGTACGGGGACATCGGTGACATGGAGAACACGCAAACTCTACCGATTAAGTTAGTTTCCCGCTACACAAATACACGCACAGATAATTACAATGCGCTAAAGAATCAAGGATTTCATGGTAGGAATTTCCTATGTATTGACATGAAATATTAATCTTATACTGAATTCTGTAATTATAGCAACATATATTGGTATTATGTTTCATAAGGTAGTATGATTTATCGAGCAGCATGAATAGTTGAACGATAAATTTTCTTACATTAATGCTTCTGTCAAAAGATATAAATTTAATCATTATATTATATATAAATTAAATCGATTATGGAACAATTGAAACAATTTTTTTCTTTTTGTTTTAATAATAGGTAAATGAATATGCATAACATAACATATTTTATATATGTTACAAGACTATTTGATTAATTCTATATAATTTTATGACAACAAAAATTAAATTTTTTTCATTTTGTTGCAAAAATATAATTATAATAAAAAAAATAATTTTTTTCAATATTTAAATTAATTATTATCATATATTTTATTATCTTAAGTATAATATATTTAATTTTTTTGATTTGATATTTTATTTTGATTAATGATTATATTTTATTTATCGAGCAGCAAATATACATTATTGTTAGTAATAATTTAATTTAATAATTAATAATAGTTAATAATATATTAATAATGTAAATTATTATTATTATATTAATTATAATATACATCATTAAAATACATTTCTTTTAAAAATTATTTTAAGTTTTAATATTTTATTATATTTGTATATAAAACAAGAAGAATATTCATGCTTATTAAATTTGCTTCTACTTACTTCTATCATAATTATAAAATAGTTCGAAATATGCCATGTTTATATTATAAATACTTTAGAAATAATATTTATTTTTTGTAAGTCATAAATTATAAATATAAATTATTTTAAATAACTTTAATTTATTGCAAATATTATTGAAATTGTATAATATTTTTTTAAATAAAAATTTATAATTAGAAATAATAAATTTTTAAATTTATATTACATTTAAATTTATAATATGTATATATTTAGAAAATTTTTTAAATAAATTTGATGAGATCTATTTAAATATTATTCGTTAATTTTATATTTTATATAATTCTTGTCACATTAAATATATATAAAAAAAATATTTTATTTAAATATATGTTTGATTATATGTAAGATTTTTATTATTTTCTAAATAAAAAAACTTTGACGTTACTTACATGCCAATTTAAAAATATTGCAGTTCGATTGTAGATGACGTTACTATCAAGTGGTTGAAATTTACGAACATATCATTATATTTTTATGGCAATTTTCATAACAATATTGAATACACTTTGTTGGAAACAATACATTGATTGATATAATTATATTTATAATTCCTTTTAATGAAAGTTTTTTGTCTAAAATGTATATAAGTTTGTAATATGTTTTTTATTAATAATAATATTATATTTTGCAATATTGTGAAATATTTAATTAAAACTTTAAAATATATATTAAGGAAAAAACTCATCAAGATTTATTTTATCACATTTAAATATTATAACATCGTAACTTCTCGAATACGTTAAAATTATGGTTAAAACACAATACAGTGCTACCAATATAATAATAAGTAAAATTATTTTTATTTTACATTATATATTTAATTTATTTGTTAAACATATAATAATTCTTTCAATATTTTATTATGTTAAATGAATTCTTATAATTTATATTTCATATAAAAATAAAAATAAAGAAAAATATATAAAAATCTTAAAATCAATTTAGGGCTA